TCAGTTTGGGTACTTGCCAATACAGAGCAGTTAATGAGATGGTACTTAAACATTAAACAATGACTTTAGAAACATTTCTTTTATTAGGAACTCAGCAGTCTGCTGTCTTAACACTTGCATTTATCTTGAAATACCTTTATTTTTTTTATTATTATTTTATTAACCTTTATTTAACCAGGCAAATGTCATTGAGATCACAGTTCTCTTTTGCAAGGGAGGCCTGGTCCTGAAGGCAGCCTAACATGCACGTTTTTGATCTGGAAAACCCATGCAAGCACGAGAAGAACATGCAAACTTCACACAAAGACTCCAGGTCCGACCGGGGATTGAACCCAGGACCTTCCTGCTGTGAGGCAACAGTGCTAACCACTGAGCCGTCATGCTCTAAACTATAATATTTTGGGGGGTTACTTGCAAAGAGGGAGAGGAAATGACATCACCAAGCATAAAACTGGTATGATCCAAAGCATTGGGGTGTTTTTATAAGTACAAGTACTTGAATTGTATTGGGGCCCAATAATCACCAATGACAAACTGGGTCCCTGGTTTGCCATAAAATACATTCACTCAGCTTTAGTAAACAAAATATCCAAATTTAGCATTAGAGAAGTCTTCACTACCTGTTTTTATAAATATAATTTGGCAAACCCTTACAGAAGCAAGGCACTGCCTTGAATCATCTCTGGGTATTGATATTCTATTGGTTATCATTTTGTTCAAGGTTCTTTATCGTCATTCGCATCACAAGGTACAAGGTGAAACGAAATTTTGTTCCCTAGGTGCCAGTTGCACCCCAAAATAGCAAAAATATAAACTATAAAAAGAAAAACTGTATACAAGGATCTAAGATATAAAACTAAATAATAATGTGGTGTATTAAACAGCAGCAGTTCATTTCTGCTTTATGGCTTACTAAAATGTTGCATTGTCATCGTTTCCTTCATTTTGCTTTTCTAAAAAATAAAAAAGTCAGCTCTCCTCTTTATTCTGTCAAATAAAAAAAAAATAAAAAAACAAGATTGTATTGTTAAAAATGTCATGCAAGCCCAATGGTTTAAAGGTTTCTAGATACTGGCATAAATAAAACAAATAGGAGGCAGAAAACTAATCAACAAAATGTTTACTTTTAATCAGCTGGTCACTTTTCCTAATTAAAACCAAGAATTTAAAACCCATTTCAAAAATGGGATTAAATACATTGTTCACCAAGGTGTCAGGTTTCCCTTCACAAAAAGTGAAAAAAGTATTTTTAAAGACTTTGCCACTTTGTGGATGGAGCCGCTCAACAGTCAACCAGCACTGCAGCATTAATAATTACACTGAAGATAATCAGATTATTTAAAAACACACTCAGTCTTGAAAATACATATGCATTGTTTTGTTGGACTCAATCATATTTGTTAAAAATACAAATACAGCAACTTGTTTCACACAAACGTAAGAATAAAAGCAGAAAAAGTTCATTTCGCAAATGAATGATAAAAAGCAGATGATCAAAGATGATTTATGCAGAAATCGAAGGCACTGTCCACCTTTGAAATTCATGTTAAAACTTTGCTTTAGTGCAAAACAATCTGAAAGTTACTTTTCCTGCAAAGGCTTATTTGCATTTTACAAAAACTTCTCCATCCATCCCTTTTACTTTTCCTTTCCAGGGAGCTGGTTCCCATCTCCAGCAGCGAGAGGTGGGGAACACCCCTGGACAGGTCTCAAGTCCAACACAGAGACAAACTACTGTCCACTCACTCACCCATGGTCGTCCTGATCTTAAACAATAACGTCCAGTTCAATCAGAAACGCCGATTACTCGTAGATTCCAGTCAAAATATGACTCAAAAAGACTTGATGTCTTTAACATGTTTCCAGCCAAGTATAGAAAAATTATATTAATACAGAAGGGAAAAAAGTGCACATATTTACAAGAACATTCAAACCACAGTAAACAGTATTGCCCTTCTGCAGGTCAGTTATAGGGAATATGGTAATGCAGATGTTCATCCAGCAGATGTCGCTGTGTGACAAAAGACTGGTAAATGTTAGTGAATATGATGCATATAGTGAAGAACTTCTGTCTCCTGGGTTTGTGTACAATGGAGTGAATACACCGCTTGTCCCTTTATGCAGATGTGGAGCAATAATTCAAACATCTGGACCTTCAGTTTTCAGTTGATAACCTTTTGGAAGTTGGTAACTGAACTGCAAGTCATCATAAGACACTGGCAGAACGAGTGGGTTTCTTTCTTGAAACAAGTACGGTCATCGACAGGGACTAAAAAGAAATAAAATCAGTAGGCATTTCCAACTAGTAGTGCAACTGTGATCATTCTTTGACTTGAACAATTTTATAATAATTGGTACATTTCATAAAAGTGCTAAACAGTGTGGGTAACAGATAAACATTTACGTTAGTGCACTGCTACACCTCTTCCTTACTTGCTTGCTTATACGAGGAGAAAGACAAACATAACCCAGAAGGCTAAGAAACTTGTCTTTCTTTACGTAAACCAATAATAAATTTATTTATAACTAATAAATATAAAACCCAGAGGCTGAAACGTAACTCAAACTGACGAGGGACCGTTTTGATTTTTGATTTATGGAAAAACAAAAACTGGGAAAAAGTATGTTGATTGAATCTTTAACTGCTCTTCACCAGCATTTGTTAAAATCATGACCACCACATTCACAGCTTGGAGAAGGAACATTTAAAATCAAGTGGATATATTTTATATCTTAGATGTTAGATCAGCAAAACACAGCCTGTGGCCTTTCTTCTACATGGCAGTGAAGGGTCAAATAGCCCAACCGGACGAGATCCTGGTCGTTTTCTTTGCTGCCAAGGAAATAAAATTGGAAAAAAAAGAAGACTAGCCCTTTCCTAATCCCCCTTCAGCCACGGTATCCCTCAGTGCGATCATCAGGAGCCAACTGCACTGGCACCGGACGCCTCTCGTAAGGAGAGCGGGATATTTGAACGGCCTCGGGCTCCTCCTCTTCATACTCCAAGTTGTTGCCTCCTATGTATACAGAGCCCTTTCCATCCACGTTCCCTTCCAAGTTTTCAGACCCACTGTGGTTACCAGGCGACATCCCTATTTGCATGCGGACATCGTTTTCTGTCGATCCATTAACAGAAGGAACAAACGGTTCCTCATCCATCCCTTCGATGTTGGTGAGCAGAGGTGTGGGCGAGTCAGGCATCTCTACGACGTTGACCCACTCCGGACCTCTTGGTATAGTGAGCTGCGTTTCTACTGGCGTGAACGTCTTCTAAACACAAAAGAATTATTCAATGGTTAGCACTAAAATTGAAAATGTGGGGATTCAAGGAAAAGAAAATCACAGTCGATCAACTATGCTTACAATGGAGTTAGGTAAAGGAGACGAGGAGTTCGTCTTTTTGTGGTAAACCATGAAGACAATTAACGCAACTGCCAGCAGGATTACACCGCCGACTCCGATGAAGACAGCGGTGTGATCTGGAGGAACAGATGTGGAACAACACACAGTTACAAACACTGATTAAAAGAAGCTGCTTCACCCGTAAATCACTGATTTTTTTTAAAACTCTAAATAAAGACTGGGCATATTTTAGACAGAACAAAACTATAGCTGCAAATAAAGTTGTTTGGATCATTTTTGTTAAAGAAAAAACCTACAATGGTTAGAACCGACTTGAAACAGACAAAAGTAAGAATACAAAGTTACTGAAAATGAGTGAAGAGAATCAGACTCCTTACTGAATTTAATATCTAAATAAGTTTACGGCTGTTTATATGAAGGTGTAAACAATGAGGTGAATTCTGATTAATTCAATTTCAATTCAGTTTATTTCTATAGCACCAAGTCACAACAGAAGTCCTCTCAGGGCACTGAACAGAAACATTCATATATAAAAATATTAATTTAATATTATTTATCTGAGGAGCAGACTGCTTTGAATTTAACTCCATCACAGACTCTCATCTTGAACAAGCATGAAGACGACAGTGGAAAGGAAAAACTCCCTCATGAGGAAGAAACCTTTAGCAGAACCAGGCTCAGGACAAGCGGTCATCTGCTTCGACCGGCTGGGTTTGAGAGAAACAGATACACAATGGCAGGTCGAGAATCACGTTAAGATAGAAAAAGTATCAAATGAAAACTATTCAATTTTAACAATTCATTTAATGAAATGAGGTCAATTTGCCCTCCAGTAGTCTAAGCATATGGCAGCATAACAAGCCAACCCTAACTATAGGATTTATCAAAAAGGAAAGTCTTAAGTCCAGTCTTTAAACTGGACAATGTGTCAGCCTCATGGACAGAAACTGGAAGTTGGCTCCACAAGAGAGGAGCTTGATAACTGAAAGATCTTCCTCCCATTCTGCTTTTTGGAAACTCTAGGAACCACGAGTAAGCCTGCAGTCAGAGAGCGAAGTGCTCTGTTGGGAAAATATGGAACAATAAGCTGTTGAATATAAGATGGAGCTAGGTTGTTGAGAGCTTTGTAGGTTAGAAGTAAGATTTTGAATTCAATTCTGGATTTGACAGGGAGCCAACGGAGAGAAGCTAAAACTGGTGATAAATGATCTCTCCCACTAACTCCAGTTAAGACTCTGGCAGCATCGTTTTATTAAGTGAAGACTTTAAAGAAGTATGTGAACACCCAGATAATAAACCATTGCAATAGTCCAGTCTAGATGTGACAAATGCATGAACCACTTTTTCTGCATCATTTTTAGACAAGATGTTTCTAATTTTAGTGATATTACGCAGGTGGAAGAAGGCAGCTCTGGTAACGTTTTTAATGTGAGGGATAAAAGACATGTCCTGATCAAAAATAAAGATTTTTAACATTAGAGCTGGAGGCCAGATTAATGCCATCCAAGGAGGGAGAAAGACTGAAACATTTATTCTTAAGATGCTCAGGTCCAAAAACTAAAACCTCAGTCTTGTCTGTGTTCAAAAGCAGAAAATTTAGGGTCTTCCAGGTTTTTAATGTCTTTAAGACATGCTTGTAGTCCAAGTAACTGATTGGATTCACTGGGTTTCAAGGACAAATATAACAGTATCATCAGCATAACAATGACAATTTATCCCATGCTGTTTAATAACTTTACCTAATGGAAGCATATATAAAGTAAAGAGTATTGGCCCCGGCACTGAACTCTGAGGAACTCCATGACTAACATTGGTGTATGAAGAAGATTAATTATTTACATTTACAAATTGGAATCTATGAGATAGATATGATTTAAACCAATTTAGAGCTGATGAACATGCATCAAGACGTAAAAGACCTCCTGTTGGAGGAGTTATCCTTTAGCAAAGTGAAAAACACTACAAATACTGAATCAAACTTTAATTTACCGAGTTGAGGTTTTTTCATGGGCCCGGTGCAGTACTCTTGTTTTGGTTTGACCAACATCTTCTGTAGTTCGCCACTGATCTGCAGACAGTGCTTCTCCTGTGCTGCATCCACTAGCAGCTTCTTCTCACACACACTTTCCTCACACTCGAAGGAGTGAGGTTGTTCCTGCACACGCATCACACAACGGTTTATTTTGAATGGAACAACAATATGCATCAGCTGGATAAAAGAAACACAAGAAAACACACTAGAAGATGTCCACTGTGTGCAGCCTGACCTTGCCAGTTGTTTTAACAGTATACTTGAAAAGTGGAAGTTGTTCCATGTTGCTTTTCTTCTTCCTGCCCGTTTGACATTTGGACACCTTGTTGCCGTACAGCAGCCAGGGATGCTGGAAGCGGAACAGGACGTGGTCATCTGTCTGAGGAGTAACAGTAACAGAAGGCAGGTCCACAGAACCTGGAAACAAACAAGAACATCGGGTTATATTAATGCAACACAATGAAACATTAGGCATCATCTCTTAAATGCTGCTGTTTAGGGTTTTGTTACTCTTAACTGCAACAGTTTTTATTATTTTACATTTTTGCTGCCATTTTAGTGTCAACTCATCAGATCAAATGTTGCTGCGAACTCAATAAAAGCTGAAACAGCCACTCACATATCTTAGCTACCAAAGAGCCGTGGAAGTAGCTGAAAGTGATGCCACCTGGCGGAGAGGCCTCCGACTCATCTGGACCGACCACAGCTGTTACTGTAAGATAAAAGGAGTTGTCCGGATCTGACAGAAACGACAGGTTAGCCTGCAGAGGAGGTTGGTCGACCCAAAGTTCCTTATTGCAACTGAAAAGATGAAGAAAAGTAATTTAGTTTATTTAGGTTTATTTGTTTACTTTGACACATTATAATGATTTTTTTTTGTTTGCTTGTTTTAAACAAGTGGCACCCTGCTGTTAGATAACTGCTAATAGCATGTTAAATAATCCCTGTAATAAATGTGATAAAATGTCCATGAGTAATAACATAAATCCTGTTTTTTATACTTTGAGGGGGTATAAAACGTGTGTGTAGACTTTTATTTCCACTGTACATCCAGAATGTATACTGCTTGCACCATTCATAAAGAGCAGATATTAAGATGAAAGATGTTTTTTAAAAAAGGCTAAGACATGTGATCAGTAGTTTAAACTAAAAGAATAAAAAAAAAAAATATCATACTTGTCTAGTCCAGATTCTGAGTTAATAGTCACTCTGAATTTGAGCCCGGGTGTGATTTGGTCGTAGTCCCACGTAAGGATGTTCTGCAGGTTATGACAGTAAAGGGTCACATTTGTTGGTGGCGCCACTGTAAAGACAATTAAATCATCAAATTAAAAACATAGTTTCAACGACTTCAGACAAAGCCAAACCTTTTCCCAAACAAAACTTTTTCACTTAAAGTACAACTTGGGGTACAAACACAGAAATCAGATGAGTTGTCTTAATGAACCAGGACATTATATAGAAAGAGCTTTAATAAACATTATTGGTATCTTACTGTGCCTTTGTTTCAGGGACTTTAGAGGTCTGGGATTCGCGTTTAGTAAAAAAAAAAAACAACAAAAACACACCACTAGTGAGGGCCGTTAGAAAACAAGCTTCATAGCATTTTCCAACACAAGAACGACAAGTGACAAGTGTTGTACATGTATGAGAAGGGGTTTGCTGCAGACCAAAAGTGGGCATTTCTGGAGAATAGGCATTTGTAGAGGGCAAACACTGATTGGCTAGCTGTTTTTGCTGGCTCTTTAGGTAAGTTACGTCAGCTCTTTTTTAAAACTGAAGGTTTCTAAGAAACAGCGTTATATCTGCTGTCAAACACAAGATTTTCTTTTGTTCTTGGGTTGTAGCTGCACCTGACACAGGTTGTCTTGTGTGTGGTCTGGGTAAAATGAAATATGAAGCATCTGAAGCGAAACTTGCTCCTATTTGTCAAAAAGTCTGGTCTCAATTAAAGATCATGAGTCATGTAACGAGATAATGGCCCAAAACTAAAGCTAAAACCAAAATTTGCTCTTTAGAAGTTCTTCTACGAGATCTGATCTATGAAAGGAGCTGAAACATGGAGTAGGGTTGACCCTTCAAATGTGAGACAGCTGAGGAAGTTAACCAGTAAACAGAAATACCTGCTCCAGTTGCAGAAATCTTACAGAAACTGACAATCACTCATCTAGAGTGACTGCTTTAAAAAGGTTGATCAAGCAAATGTGAAGTTAAAGGTAACCTTCAAAACAACAACCAAAACAGATTTTGTTTTTACTGTAATGGCTAGATATTAAAAAACTAACATTTAGCCATCCCCACTACCCATTTATGTTGCTCTTATTTTGAAATGTAACTGGAAGTTCTGTGTTAAGAGAGGCAGAAAAAGAAGTCACGGAGACGCCGCCAATGTCGAACAGGTTAACACTATAGACATATGTCTGTGGTTAACACAATCTGCCAATAACGCCTTGCTTTTAGACATAATATGTCTGTGGTTAACACAAACGCCTTGTTTTTATCGTCCAATCAGATATGGCCCTCCAGATACGCCTTCCGTATTTGTCTGCAGAGATACCCACTTGACATGTATGGTAGTTTTCCTCCCTCAGCTTTGAGATTCAAACCTGGTAATCCAGAAACAAACTACTTCACAAACTCTCTTACAAATCCTTCATAAAAGTTAATAACATTTGGGTCAGAGCAAAACATCCTGAAATCCAAAGTAGCAAAAACAGAATTACAAAAATAACTTCTTTTTTTTAATCCCCTTTTTCCTGCTTGTTCTTACATTTTAATCTGCACCATTACAATAAGACCAGAACATTGGGGGGGGGGGGGGGGGGGGGGGTCTCCCTGGCTTTACAGATGCTGGATGTTTACCCAGTACGGTTACTTCCTTTTTTATGCTTCATTGCACAGCTAATCTACACACACACACACACACACACATATACACACAGTGATCTGTGCCCTGATGGCACAAGTTTTTATTTTATTTTTATAAAAAATTAATTTCAGAAAAGGCCTAAACTATTTCACCTTCTCTCCAAAGCAAAGTTATGTATATATAGATTTTTTTAAGAAAGTAGACTAACGGAGCTCCACATGTTTGCACATTACTTTCAGAGCCAGAATAGTTTTTTTATTATTAAGATTACAACAACAATTTAAAAGCTGACTAAAACTAATAAAAGCCAGAGAAAAATAGACACAAAAAACTTCTTATTTTGAAAGTGAACTTTGGCCAGTTTGAGTAAATCTTGTCAGATGAGTTAGCAGATTACACAAAACACATGTGAGTCACATACAGTGTGAAAAAGTACACACACAGGTTTCATTTCCACTTGTGAATTCATATGTCTCAACGTGACATCACGCTCCAAACACACACACACACACACACACACACACAAAGAACAACAGTGCGGATGTGAGAAGCAGTTCGCCAACTGTTCAAAAGTGTCAACCACAGAAAACAAGTGGGCCGCTGAGGCTGTCACCCACAAGCACACACACCTCACACATTCACAGAAGTGTTCACTCATAGTTGTGTGAAGGATTCAATTTTAAGGAACGGATATTAGATAATAAATGCTAACTTTGGTTATTAGTATTGTTAGCTGCGTGTGAGAACATTTGGACACTAAAGAGAAGAAACATAACGACAACAAGATCTGCTACAAAATATAAAAACATTCAAAAGAGAATGTTTACCTTAAATACACTTTGGGCAGAGGAATACTTTTATTACCTTGTAAAAATAATCTGAAGCAACAGAAAATACTCGTGCTCTTGTTGCTGAAAAAGCAAAACCATCTGACAGAAGCAGGAAGAGAAAGCTGATGGTATCAGGCAGAAAAATGAGGTTACTTGTTCTGCAAAACAATGTTTCTCTGCAGCACAAATCCACAAACGGACTGAAGCTATTCAATTGATGTGTCAGTGCACAAAGTGTTCATATTAACCCTTACTTGATATTCAACAAAGTTCAGTCAGGTCATCTGGACGGTTTCTTTTTTGTTGAGAAGTTTCGTCCTTCATCCAAAGGACTTCATCAGTCCAAGGAGCCACAAGAAACTTAGTCTCACAAGAAGCATCCTCCCATAGTGGACCAACCAGTTTGCTGGTGATAAGATGGTTTCTGGGGTCCTCTTCCCCGTTGCCTCCTATGAAGCAGCCATAGCCAAAGTGGTTCAAAACATCAAAGTTCATGCGCAATAATCCAAGTTAAAAAAATAAATAAATCCAACAACGTTCAGTCAGATCACCTGGGCAGTTTTTCTTTTTTTGAGACGTTTTGTCTTTCATCCAAAGGACTTCATCAGTCAGAGGAGCCACAACAACTATGGCCCACTATGTGAGAGTGCTACTTGTGGGTTTGTTGTGGCTCTGCCGCCTGATGAGGTCCTTTAGATGAAAGATGAAATGTCTCAACAACAACAAAAAGAAACCATCCAGCTGGCCTGACTGAACTGTGTTGTTTTTACCTGGATTTTTGAGCATGAACTGTAATCTTGATATTCTTTGAGTCCTGAGTGTCAAAGGTGTTACTGTCATTTGTATGTTTTAGCATCTTTGCTGTGAAACCTTCTGTAAAGGTAAACTCACTTTTCATCAGAGTATAAGTTCAATCACATCCACAGAATTTGTTGCCATAAAAGTAAAAAAAAAAAAACCAACTAAAAAGTATACTTCAAGGGAATGTGAAGAATAAGCCATAAAAAAAAACATGTACATACCCATGTGTCCTTCCTGTAAAGCGCCTGAAGCTCAGAGCTTTAACTGAACACATCAAGGCAGCCTAATTTCCTGTTTCATTCACAGACTTTTAGGCATGCAGTTCTTTCTAAATGCACGTGTGTGCACAGCTCAGAGGGATAATGAGCCCATATTAAGATCTTAACCTGCTGGGACAAGTCCAGCTGCTCGTGTTACGTATCACAGAAATCCCTCGACTCATTCCTGTGTTTTGATCTTCTTCAGTGAACCGATATTTGTAAAATAAATCATCATTTCTGTCTCTAACATTTTAAAGAAATAAATAAATCAAAACACCACCGACAACAATGACGGCTTGTTCTTTTTCTTTCTCCTTCTTTTCGCTGCTCCCTTCTTCAGGGTTCACCACAGCAAACTAAGCCGCATGAAGACGTGGTAATTATTTTTACTCCGGATGTCCTTCCTGATGCAACCACAGACCACCGAGCTACCACAGCCCTCTGTGTGGAGCAGAGAGCTGCTATCCAGGACACCTGGGGGAGCAGATGGGGGTTTCACCTTTCTCACATTTTGATGCTGTCGGTATGGAGAGTTGAACCAGCGATTTTCCGTTTACAGGCCCACCTTCTCTAACCTCTGCACCACCACTCCCCGCTGCTTCAGCATCAATACAACTTTAACAACAATACAGATGATTAAATGCTCAATAGAAATCAAAACCAGAATTATATATATTATTAATGAACTACTGGTATAACAAAGTCTTTTGGTACCGTTCAGCCCCAGAAATGTGAAACGTACACGTTACAACTACAAACTAACAAAAGCTCAATGGACGGCTGGTAATGGATCAAAATCAGAAACATTGATCCATTACCAAACTTTGATTAGGGTGTTTGCAAATGTTAATCAACTATGCTCAAATGGATAAAACATTCACCTAAAAGTTAACTTTAAATATGAAGAAAGTTCTGAAACTGAGGCTGCATTTGTTGCATGCTTTTTGTAACAATTTTTTAAACTCATTTAATCTATTTACCCGTTTGAATAACCACTTTTTAAATATCAAAATGTAAAAGATGATTTAATTAGGGCTTATATTCCAAAGTTTACAGAAAAGTTTTTCCCTAAGCTTTACAACCAAAATTATTATTTTTTTTAAATGCTGTAAAATTAAAAAAGTTAAGACATATTTGGTATATTTATGAGCAAAATTATCACTTCAGCTTTCAATTAGTTTAACTTTTTTTTTTTGCATTTACAGTGTTTGCCAGGAACGTGCTGAGGTGAATTTCATTTCTTGTAAAACTGTCAGGTTGATGGCAACTCAATAACCTGTAAAAGGCGTGTTCGGTGCCGTTTCTGTCCAACTCCAAAAACAGGTCCTACATTTTTCTTTTCTTTAAAGGTTTGACGTAACCTTAATCTTCCCATGGGATGGGAATCTGTTGCACGAGCCACAAATGAAAGCGATTTAAAAAGGAAAGTCCCGATCACATGCAGCTGAAGTTTCTGCTGTGCACAGTGACTCATCATCAGATCGCTTCAAAGCAAATCTCAGAGGTTTCACCAAAATATTCAAACACATGAACACACATGGCA